AAGAGCCCCTCGCTATAAGCTTTCTATATATTTTTAATGTTTTTCTCTTTGCACTCCTTGATTCTCTCTGACAACAAAATCTGGCTCCCCAGATGTGCAGTGACTAACAGGGAGGGAATAAAGGCTCTGAGCAGAGCTGCAAGCTCCAAAAGTAGCTCGGGCTGAGGTTTTAAACAGGCTCCAGATTTCTCCAGGACCACGTGAAGGGGGTGCAGGCACAGCACAAATCTGTGTGAAACCTTTGAGAAAACACAATTTGGCTCCATCTCCTGCTGGGGCACTGCAATAGTCTGTGCTGACTGTTCTAAAACTGAAGGGCAGGGATTTATCTATTTTTCTTTTCTTTTTCCAACAACCTGAAGGTTTAAGCTGGGTCCCAGTGGGTATTTATGGGCTGGAGCACACAGAGCTGGGAACAGCTCTCACTTGGAGTGAAGTGCTCTGTTGTAGCACAGCAAACTGTGAAGGGAGAGAGGAAATCCACAGAATACTCAGTCAGCAGCCAGAGTCACAGAATTAATCAGTAAATGATGTGTTTATTGCCCCAGTGGAAGGGGAAGGCAGACTGAGGTCTGCAGCAAGAATAACTCGTCTCTTTTGTGGAGGCTGCAGAAGTTTCACTGATTTCCTCTGTCGGAAATGTCTGGGGCAGCTCTCAGAGAGCCACGTGGCAAAACTTCTCCTGCTCCTGAGAACAAATCAATGCTTGCAGGAACCAGCAGGAGCTGGGAGGGCTGAAACCTCGTGCTCCTGAAAGCAGAAAGAACATTACACAGGACTGTTCACTCAATTGGTGGCTTCAGCTTAACTCCCCCTGTGCTGCTGCTGGTGGGCTGATGGAAAATCCAGATTTTCTGCAAAGATTTTGGGTGTGTTTGACCCCCCTTCTTCTGCAAGGGACTGGTGGAACTGAAGCTCCAAAGATACTCTGGAGGGTTTTTAAATGCAGAGCCAAAGGGACAGAGCTGGAGTAAAAGTGATTATTCCTAAACTGGAGCGTTCACAATGGAGACAAATTGTAATCACACCCTTGGGATCCTGCAATCACCAGCAGCTCCCACCAGCCCCCGGCCCTGCTCCTCTGGGGGAGATGGAAAAGGAGGGAATGTGTTTTCTCCTGGTTCTGGATGCTCAGCAGAACTTCCTTGGACTTGCCAGGGGAATTTTTTCTTTAATTCCTCAAAATATTTACAGACCTTTTAAAATACCAGGCTGAGATGTTTCAGCACTGCCCTAGAACGGGTTCTCTAGGAAAAGAAAACACCAAGAACCAGATCTGTAATAACCCCTTCCCTAAGGCATTTCTAGCAACCTATTCCTGTCCTGCTGCTCATCCTTTGTTCCACAGCAGGCACAAAAAACCAGGGTTGGCTCAGGGGAGCTGCCAAATCCCAGCATGGAGATTTTCTCATCCCTGGAAGTGTCCAAGGCCAGCTTGGATGGGGTTTGGGATGGTGGAAGGAGTCCCTGCCCTTGGACAGAAAGAAAAGAGAGAAATTCCTGGCCAGGGGAGTGGGGCTCTCCTCTGACTTTTTGATCTGTGTCCATTTGACTCCGAGCTGCAGCAGCAGAGGTGTTTATTAACTCACAGGATCCTGTTCCTCAGGGGCCCCTGATGGAAAATAAACCTTCCAGCTTGTTGGGAACAAGAGTTCAGCAACACTGAGGGTTTTCCACGAGCGACTGGAGATAATCAAGATCATTCCAGGGAGTGGTTTAAGAGTCCCAGGAGTCTCTGGAGCAGCCAGAGGGAAGCAGTGCAGCAGCTCTGCCCAGCCAGAGTCCTTTAAAGAACCAGATGTATTCAAATATCCAAAAATGGGAATTACTTCTGCTTATTTTAAGAGCAAACCTCACTCAAATATTACCTTCTTCTAGTGCCATCCAGAGGGATGATGACACAGAATAATCGATTTCTGGTTTAAATTAGCCACCACACCTCACACATCTTTTGCCTGAAGGTGGAATTTGCTGGGACACTGGGGCTTGGCTGAGAGCTTGTCACTGCTCCCTGTGTCCCTGAGCCCTGCAGGACGTGGATTTCCTCTGGCTGAGATCTGGGGGCACAACTTCAGGGGGAAATTTTCCAAGGAGGATGGAGAAAGGCTGGGAGAATGGTCCAGCCAGTTCCCAATCCCCCTCAGTTCATTAGCCCTGCAGCTCTCAGGGTGGTTAAAACAAGGCTGGGGCTGTGTGCCAGAGGGGGAGCAGCACCCCAAACCGTGCTCTGACAGCCTGGCTCTGCTGCCAGGTGGTTCTGCAAGCAGCAGAGGACACGGGGGAGGACAGATTGTCCCTCTGGTGCTCCAGGAAATGCTGTGACATGGGTAATTCCATCAGGGAGCTCTCAGGCATAACTGGGTTAGCTGGGACCTTATCTTCCCTGGAAGCTGCAGCAGCAAAGTGCTCAGGGAGATTTGATTAGGGGCTGATGTCAGCCCATTTGCCAGGAAAAACAGGGATTTGGGGGGCAGAGGAGAGGGTTTGAACTGCCTGTGCCTGGCTGTAACAATGAGATGGATCCAAGCACGGCTGTGCCCCTGTCTCTGCGAGGTTTCACTGCACCCCCAATCCTTGCTTTGCCCCCTTCTGGTGTGGGTGACGTTTTTCAAGTTGAAATTAAAGTTTTCCCACCTGGCAGCTCCTTCTCAGGGCTGGGTTGGATGATGGGATCCAGCCCCCTGCAGCAGCAAGTGGAGGTTCTGGATCTGTCACTTGGCATGACATTAAAAAGTAACATTTGCCCTATGTTTTTTGGTTTAAATTGCCCTGTAATCCAAAGGCCAGCTCATTGCCAGCTCCTGCTAAAGATAAGAGTTTTAGCATTTCCCTGGCAGGCCTGTGACATCCCATAGAGCACCAGACAAGGCAATTTGTTAATCTGCCAGCACTGGCATTAAATATCCCCCTTTGTGCCCTGACAACACATTAGCAAGAAGTCAGACCTGGGGACCATTTTCCTCCTGAAAAGCCGAAAATTTTGTGTATAATTCGTTTCCTCACGGAAACGGGAACTTAAGGACACGTGAAAAGCCTAAAATGGGATTTGTGGCGAGTGCCTGAACTCTTCAAGGTATTTTTGTGCCCACTTTGGCTCTAAAACAACTGCAGAGAGAACAGCTTCAAAGCTGGGGAAGGGTCTGATTGGAATCTCCGGGAGCTGGACCAGGAATTCTGGATAAAAGACCCCTTTTTCCCTCTTGTCTGCCCACAGGTTGTGTTTCCAGAGGTTTCCTGGGACCTCTGGAAAAGGGGAAAAGCCTGGCTGGTGTTTCCATCAGCTCCCACAGGTAATTATGGGCTGGTGAGAAGCAGGGAATAAAGCACTGGAGAGGCTCCTGAAACAAAAGCTGTTTCCAGGCTTTCTGCTCCCCTGGCACTTCCTGAAAACTTCCTGGCTGCTTGGAGACAAGGGGGATAATTACAGGCATCCTAAAACACTGTTCTGCTCCTGCTCTTTCAATTGAAGGGGAAAATGATGTGGAAAGGCTGGAAACTGGAGGATTTCTTTGCTCTGCTCTGGAAATGAGGTCCAGGAAGGTGAATATCTGAGGGGTGGGATCTGGGCACTCCTGGGCACCAGGTTAGTGCCTTTTTCACAAAAATATTCCCTTGTTCTGCCTGGGATGCCCCTGGATTTTATTCTGAGTTGTTCCACCCTGCACAAACCCTGCTGCCTTACAGGGAAACCCAACTGGGTCAAAACTCTCCTCTTGTCTCAACAGTTCAGCCACAAATGTGTATATTTAACATTTCCATGTGTAAATCCCAGAAGGAGAACCTTGCTTTTCAGGTGTTTGGGAAGGTTAAATATCTCTTCTCCATGGTCAGGATTATTTCCTCTCCCCCGTTGAGCTTTGAAATGAAAGCCTCAAATGGAAAAGAAAATGTAGAAGAGATAAATTTCAGAGGGGAGCAGGATTTGTGATGCTGATCTGCTGCAGGAAGGTGCCATCAAACCCCTGCCCTTTCTATTTGCAGGCAACACAGGCGATTTTCCTTCTTTAAATATCACTTCAAGAGCATCAACCATGCACTGCCTCCGAGCACCAGGCCTCCTGGAAACAGGGCTGCCTCAGGAGAGAGCTGACCACAAAAGGAAAAGGATCTCTTGCTTATTTTTGTTTCTACCTTGCAGAGTTATTTATTATCAGCTGCTTGCAGGTACACACACAGCCTCCCCGGGGGCCAGTGCTGCAGAGACAGAGATGAGTTTACTCAGATGCTGCTGTCTGTGATGCACTCTAAAATTAGACTTTGTCTCGCTGGATGCTGTGTTTGGATGCAGAGGAGTGACAAGAATTCCTTTCTCTCTCTTTTTCTCTATAATCTACATTTAGAGGGTGGGAGCCGCTCAGGTTTTTGACAGAAATGGGAGGAAAAATGGGGGGGGGAATAAAAAAATGCATCCTGAGGTGCCAGTTTCCAGATTTATCAGCAGCAGGCTTGGAGCCAGCCCTGCTTCCAGGTGCTAAATCAGGAAGGCAGTGGAGCTACTCCCATTCACTCCCAGGGAGCTGAGCCAGGCTGCTCCCCAGGGAGAGAATAACAATAAACAGAGGGATTAGGAAAAGGCTGAGCACGGGAGAAAAACGTGCTGGTGAGGGGAGATAAATGGGGCAGCAGCAGGAATTGCTGTGGAGGGAACACAGATCAGGGAGGTTTTCCAGGGAGGCTCTGAAATTCTGTTTCATCTCCAACAGCTCCATCATCCCTGCCTTTGCTCAGCCCCTCTGGGCCCAGGCTGTGCAGGGCCCTTTCAGAATAAAGCTGAGTTCACCTGTCATTTATCACTGAACACCGAGGTTTCCCCCCCATTTCCCTGCAGAAAGCTTGGGAGGTAATTAATATCATCAGAAATAATCACAGCAGGTGTAAATTCCCCTTGCTTTGGCTGCAGAAGGGCCAGGCTGGGCCCTCAGTGGCTGCCAGGGAGGCCGAGCCCCTTTCCCAGGCCTGGCTGCTCCACTTAAATCGTGTTCCCAACAAGGTTAGTCCATTACAGGAAACTGGAGTTAGAGGCCCTTTTGTTTACTGTGTTACACAAATTCAATTTGTCAGAGAGCTGGGTTTATGAATTAGGAATGAGGGACGTTAGCAAAATTAAATGATAAGGCCTTGGCCAGCTGCAGCTGAGATGGGGCTGATAAATTGGAGCAGCCAGGCAGGATTTGGTGAACTAAAACAAAGGCACGGTGTAAATATGTAAAAAAAATGGATATTGGGCATGAATATCTTATATCTCCTTCTTCCCTGCCCTTGTGGTACAGAAAACTGGGGGGGGAAGCATTAAAAAATTAGGATTTCTCCTTTGGTGGATGTTGTTTGCAGCATCCTCACATCCCAGGCTCTGGTTTGGCCTTGGCTTTGGGGCAGTTCTACAGCTCCAGCCTGTATTTTGGGAGCAGACTGGCACAACTATCCCATGGCAACACCTGGTCCTCCCCTCCTTTCCCAGGGAGAATTCTGCAGAGTTTCCAGAGCTCTGAGATGCTGCACGTTCAGGTGAGGGCCCCCAGCAGGGAGGGAGAAACGCTTGGATGTGAAACAGGAGAAGGAAAAATGGAATTCCACACAACAGGACAGGGTGGGGAGAGACTCCCAGGCAGGGTTTGGGTCTCTCAGGGGCACTAATGATTCCCAGACCTTCCATAATGCAAAGCAGGAGCTGCACACTCTAACTTTGGATGTTCCAGGAGAAAAGCTGAGCTGGAAATCCCCGTGGCAAGGCTGGGATCTCTTTTTTTCCAGCAGCAGATTGAGTCCCTTCCTGGCTCCAGGAACACAGGCAGGGGAGAGGAATGTTCTGTTTGGCTTTCTGAGAGAGATGAATGGAAAGTGCAGAGGCATTTACATGTCCCTCTCCACTGTACCTGTTTTGGAGTTCATCTTTCACAAGTCACTGCTCTGCTGACACCAAAATTTATGGAGCTGGAGGCACCTGGCTCTTGAAGGATTGTTCCTCCGGAGAGAAAAATGTTTTGCTTTGCATGGTTTGGCCTTGCTTGGAAAAAACTTTGAATTTTTCTTGCTGAGCTCCCTTCCTAACTGCTTTCATCACAAAAAAGGCCAAAACTTGCCTTCAGTACTGGGGGAGTGAGAGAGGAGGAGGAACAAACCAAGGGAAAAGTCATTACAAAAGACACAGCAAATTATTCAGCTGCTGTGACATGGCTAGAGGGGGAAGAGGAAAGTTCCTTGGCTGGCTGGAGTTGGAAACATCCTGCCTGTCACTCTGCAGAGAAAACCGTCAGATATTTCATGTTAATTGTCACTTAGGAAAATTTCATCCTTTCAAGCCCTGCAAATGCTTCAGCAATAATTTCCATTTCCTGAGAATGACACCTGAGCCAAAAGGAGTTTTTCTCTCCCGTTTCCCTCTTGCCCTAAAGAGGAGGTGAAAATTTTAGGGAAAATTCACCTTTGCATCTGAATGTTCATGGATTGATCTCCCAGAGCTGCTGCTAATCAAGTGTTATCTCAGTTAATACAACCTTAATTCAACCTTTCCACCACCATTCCTCTCCAAGTCCGTATAAATTCATTATCCAGAGAACCCCAATCCATATAAATTCATTACCCAGAGAACCCCAAGCAGAGCAAAGACTTCTTTCATCAGTTGTTGGACAAAATCTGAGTCAAGCAGCCCTGGCCCTGAAAGTCTTGGTCCCTGAGCAGGCAGATAATGAGAAATTTAATGCTGGGAGACAGGAGCCAGCTCTGAAAGGTTATAGGAGTGGGCACCCAACCCAGAGCAGGCACAGGGAGCTCCTCCCTGCCCTGCCCAGAGGCTCCAGGAGGAGTTGCTGGCAGGTGGAAATCGATTCTTTTATCTTTGCAAAGCAGAAATGCCTAAACTAGAGCATCATCATATCGAGTTTTACCAAATTCTTGTTCCTACAGTGCCTGGAGCAGCTCTCAGTTCTGTTTCCTAGGCCATGGGTTCTGAGGAGGGAAAAGCTCTTTTTATGATTCTCTGCAGAGGGGGCGAGGGAGGCACGCAGAGGATGCACCTTGGACAGCCTCGAGATAATCAGAGACGTCCCCATGCTGTGAAACCTGTGAGGATTTAGGGAAAACTTTGCCCAAAAAGAGCATCAAAGAGTAAGGGAGAGATTTGAGACAACAGCAGAGGAAAACATTAAAATGTGTGTGGTCCAGAGAGCTCTCTGGGAAAAACAGAGCAATTGGGATCAACAGAAGGGTTTGCACCCAAATAATCAGGCAAAGAGAGGAGGCTGAATTCCTGGACATGAGAAATGAGCTTTGCTGTGGCCTCTCCAAAGCACAGCTTGGCCCTGGAGAAGTCGTTGGTGCTTAAAATGGTCCAAAAATTTGGAATTCTGCAGAAAGACCACCCCAGAATCCCAGGTTCTTTTCCCCATAGGGCTGGAAGAACTTATAAATGGGTTTGCTTTGCTGCTAAAAGCTCTCAGTGCCTGACCAGCATTTCCACTCCTTGCATGAGAAGACAGAAGAGCTCACGCCTTTGATCCATCTCCCTGAATATCTGCTGCCTGTTTCACTGTTTGTGTTCACAGAAAAAATAAATCAACAAACAAAACAAACCAAACCAACCCAAAACAAACCTGTGAGCCACTGCCAGCAGCACAAAGATCCTGGAGTGTGCAGTGCATTCACAACTCCTTTATTCCATCCCTTTTTTAAAGCAGTCTCCTGAAAAATCTGATAAAACCCAGGATAAAACCCCCTTTTTGAGCAGAGGCCCCAAATCACCTCAGGTTCCTTGGGTTCTCACGAGGTGAGCAAAGTATTTACCTTGCTTGGGTGATCTTGGAATAAGCTCATTAAATGACTGGTTATTAATAGCCCTCTCTCTGGCTGGAAATCAGAGATGTGCTTCAGAGGGGAAACTCCTGGAGATGAGCAGGGGGGGCAGCTCCCGTTGCAGGAATGAAACATTTCCCTGATGGATAAGCTGGATGTGCCAGCAGTGTGGCAAAGAGGGCTGGATCACAGCAGGAATTGGGCAGTGACTGCTGGGACTGGAGGGGATACAAGATTTACCTGGCAGGCCTGCTGAGTTTATTTTTTATTTTTATTTTATTCATCAGCGTGGTTATTTTAAAGTGATTCCCTGACCTGAGAGTCACACACTGCAAAACTGTGTTTTTCCACAGAGCCCAGCACTCCAGAACTCCTAACTCCTGAATATTCCAGGGGCAAAACCCAGAGCATTTTGTTCTCCCCTTTGCCATGGGCAGGGGCTCCTTCCACTGCCCCAGGCTGCTCCAAGCCCCATCCAGCCTGGCCTGGGACATTTCCAGGATGGGACATCCATAGTTTTGCTCCTGTCTGTCCCATTTAAAGTTTCAGGTTGTATCAATCCACCTTCCCTCTGTCCACAACCCCTGAGATCTCCATCCAAAGAAGAACCCAAGGAGAGTGCAGGGAATTTTTCGTGGAAGTCTGTCTGTCATCACACTCTGCAAATAGCCCCAGCCTCTTTAGTCAGGCCAGAAATCCTTTGGAAAATATGTATTAAATATCTTCTAAAGCTTTTTTATTTTGGTTATTATTATCTTTAAAATAATACATTTCCCCAGTCTAAAATGGAATCGAGTGCAGGGATATTCAGGATGGAGCAGAGTTATTTTCACTTAGGAACCAACATCAAACAACCTTAACAACACAGCTCCAGACACATAATGAAAATTAAAACCAAGGAACATGCAGATCTAATTACATTTTTAAATAGCGAGGCGTCGAGAGGAAGGCAGAGAAGAAGTGATTTACAATTTTTCCTGGTGGTGACTCTGCAGTAAAAGCAGAGCTATCCCCTGAGGATTCCTGAATCACTGAATATTCTGCTTTTCTCCCGAGGCTCTTTTCTATTCTGTTTTCTCTACAGAGGGGTATTTGTGAGAGAGAAGAGAAGAGCAGGGCCTGGACAAAACAGCGAGAAAATTAAATGGTCTGTGCAATTCCCAAATTGCTTCCTATGAGAAAGCAAGCACGTTATCACCAGAAAAGCAGGACAGGCATTGCCCTGTGTCCTGCAGGGATGAGATACACTTGTTTGTGGGAACAGACAGCACCATTCCCCACCCCGAGCACGTGTGGGAGTTTGGGGCTGTGCTGTGGCAGATGTAGGAACTGGGGTTATCCTGACAAGCCCAGCTGATAAGAGCCCGGGAATATTGAATAGAAATTGGGTTAAAGCAAGAAATGCTCTTATCAGGATTTGAATTTCCCATTCCAGATCCTACCCTTGGATTCTGCTTCACGACAGCCCCAGGATATCTCTCCAGTCACTCCGGGAGCCACTCATTTATTGATGTGCAAAGTGCTCTGCCTCTCATACCCAAACCCACAGCGCCTGCGACCCCCAGCAGTGCACAGGATCCTGCTGCACCCAGAAATGAAGAAGTTTGCCCAGGAATTAAAGCAATCCCATGCCCAGTGAATGCAGGTGCCCTTCCAGTCTGCTCTGATTTTGCTGTTTGGCACAAAGCCCTTGCACAGAGCTGGGGCTGCAAAACGGAGCCAGGAGAGCTCCTGGTGCCTGGCAGAGCTGCAAGGCACAGCTCCCACACCTGAAGGCACGGCAGAAGTACTGGGGAGATGGAAATTGCTCTGTTCTCCTCTGCTCTCGGCTGTTTCGTGCTGCAGAGCTCCTCCTCGGCCTGGTGCTGGCTCCAGATGTCATCAGAGATTAGGACCAGGCTTTTGGAGCTGGGCTTGGGTCTTGTCCTTCCCTGTTAAGCTCCTGATGGGGAAGGGAATGTTATTTACCGAGCTGATTTCCCACCCCCTCGCCCCCGCCACCTTTATGTCTTTTTGTCCATGTGCACATTTTCAGAAAAACCCAACCCCTGTGAGGTGACCCAGAGCACCCAACAGGACTGGGAGGGCTCTTGTCCCCTGGGTCAGCCCCTGCAGCCCCTGACAGGGGACATTAAATGGCTCTGAAAGGGCTTTTCAGGGAGGCTCTGGGAAAGGCCAGGCTCTGCTGCCCTGCACTAATTCCTCCCCACATTGTTTTCTTAACCCTCTGCTGAGCTGAGCCCCGGCCCTGCCCCACAGAGAAACCCATTCCCATTCCTTGGGAATCCCAGGAACAGCCAGGAGAAGCTGCCCCAAGCACAGGGAGGCAAAAGCTGATTAAAGTTGAAGGCCAGGGGTGGACTAATGACAGAGGGGTTCAGGGGGTAAGAAAACTCTGTAAGAGGCACTGGGAGAGAGCTGCTGGCCATGCAGGGCAGCTGTCACTGGATCCAGCAGTTAATAAAATAAAATAAAATACAATATTGTCATTAAAACAGATTTGAATAAAGCACCATCACCAAAGGAGACAAATTTGAAGTCAAGCAATGGGAAGGAGGCACGTGTGGGGATGTGGATCAGCAGCAGCAGGAGAAGAACAGAGCCAGCTCAGCCCCAAAGTCCCACCCAACAGCACCATCTCTCCCACAGGAAAAGTTAGAAAATAAAACAGGAGATGCTGGAAACCCAGCAAGGGTGACCAGAATGATGCTACAGAAAGAAGGAAGCAAAATTAAAAAAAGCAGCTCGATGACAAACGAGGCCCTTCAGTGCTGTGGGATTTTCTCTTGTTCATCACAGCCAGTGTCAGCCTCCCCAAAAAGATATAAATACTACAAGAAACACCAGGAAAAACACCCCAGCAGCAGCCACCTTGACATCCCTAACCAAAAAATCCAGGTTTGCTCTTCCCCTGACAGTGCTTCCCACCTCTGCTGTCAGCCTCCCAGTTTAATGGGCTCTGCCTTATAGATGTTTATCACATTTTTATATATATATTTATATATATAGATATATTTATATATCTATATATATAGCTTTTCCTCTAGATTTACAGGCAAGGGTATTTTTCACAGCAGCCAAGCTCTCGTTTGTTGGTTTTTTTTCAGGAGCCACGAGGAAGGAGAACCTTTAAATCACCAGGAAGCTCTGACAATGCAGACCCTACTGTGCAAGATTGCTTTTAAAAAGCACTTACTTTTTATGGCCTAATTTAAGGCGACATTGAACGTTCTCAGGAAAACCTCCCAGTCCCTCCAAGGGCCCTGCCCTGCTAAAGTGTCTGCAAGTCCTTTTCTGCATTTTTTCCAAGTGGTCTGTGAGCCTCTTGGAGCTCACAGATAAAATTTGGAGTCATCATTGCTGGGATAAATCACCTGCCTGGGGGTGAAGTGAATCCTGCAGGGCTCTGGTGGCCAGGGTTGCTTTTATTTCACCCACACCGATGCTGCTCTTGTTGTCTGACCTGTAACTGCTGCAGGGGAGGGTTGTGCTGGGGAATGATGGGCAGCTCAAGGCTTTGAAGATCCCCAAATTCAGCCCAGGAGCCGCGACAAACCAAGTCACTGCATCCCAACCTCGGTGCTGCTCACAGGGATTCTGTCTGGATGGGAATATTTTGCTTTACAAGTGTTGTACAAGGAGCAGGTGGAGCAATGTGCTTAAAGATTCTGTGTGAGAATTAAAACATCCTCCCCTTTTATAAGGTCTTGAATTGAGGTTTTTTTAATCCTATTTTCCAACACATTGAAAACACGGGGCTCTGCTGCTTAAACTCAACCATGAATTGAGGGCAATCCCTCAGGCAGGGGCACCTCCAGAGCCTGAACCTAAAGGAGAACAGGATGGAAAGTGATTTTCCATCTCTGGAGAGCGGGGTCATTTCTCTCCTTCCCTCTGAGGGAGGTGAGGCCCTGGCACAGGTTCCCAGAGAAGCTGGGGCTGCCCCATCCCTGGAATAGCCCAAGGAGAGTCCCCAGCTGCTGCCCCAGCCAAGCTGGAGCGATGTTTTGCTCCTGAAGCACTTAGAGGTGCCTGGAAAGTGTTTTCCAGAGGGATGAATCAGAGCTCCCAGGCTGCTCTGCCTGGAGAAGCACCAGCCCCTCCTCAGCAGGAGCGGGAAGGGCTGGACTCATCAGCAAGGCTTCCAGCCAGGAATCCAGATGGGATCTGAAACAAAACCATGGTGGGAGATGTGGTTTAAAGCTCATTCTGCAAGAAGGGTGCATCTGCTTTTGCCTTGAAGGTGTACCTTGCCTTCACCTGCCTCTCCAGCTAAATGAGCCTCCCCTGCTCAGCAGATCCTGGGTTTCAGTCCAAGGGAGGCTTCCCACAGGGAATCAGACATCTGCCAGGCATTTGCACGTGTGCTAAAAAGGGAAGGCAGCGCTCTCCTGCCCTCCAAAAGCAAATCCAGACTGTTGGAGGGTAAAGCAGGAGGGGATGAGCAGGGATAGAATTATTAATGACACGTTTGTCATTAATACCAGTGCAGAGGGGAAAGAAGCTTCATCTTTCCAGCTTTGCCAGCACTGAGCCAGCTTTAAAAGGGAGGAGGCTGCAGAAACTTCCCTTTTCTGCCCCATAAAAACCCCCAGTTTCAGCTCAATCTGACACAGAGCTGTCACAAAACCCTACACAAGGTCATGGGTCCAGCATTTGAGCAGCTTCACTCCCCAAATCCACAGAATTTTTGTTGGTTTCTTTATCTGGATGGGGTTGGAAGGAAAGGGATTGCTCACCACAGAGCAGAAGGGGGTTTGTGAGGCTGGGGATGCTCCCAGCACCTGCCAGGGCCAGGGGTTTTGGGGTTTTGGGGTTTTGGGGTGCTGCATTTGCCACACGACAAAAGCACAAGGCAGTGCCACTCCAGGGTTCATTATTCATCCACCGGGACAGTCCAGCACAATCAGAGCTCAGAGCAAATTGCCTTCTCTTATCTCTAGTACAACATTTAATGCATACAATGCATAATGCATGGGGCTGTGAACCCCAGGACGGGGGGCTCTGCACCACAATCCCTCTGGAAACTGAGCTGGATTGATGGAAGACAACTCTCACCTCCTTCCCTCCCAGTCCCTGCCCTGCTCCTGCTGCTGGTGACCATTTCCCCAAAATTCCCTTGCAGGAGCAGCTCCCCCAAGCACCCAGGAGCGCTGGGCTCAGTTTGAGCCTCCCCATCTGATTAGATTTATGCAAATTCCTGTATTTATTAGCATAACAGGAAGATTGTTCTGCTGCCTGGGAAGAAACGAGCCCCTTTATTCCAATAGATGTGTCAGCTTGGAGCAGTTAATAAGATCTATTTGTAATCCATAGGTAGGCACGATAAAAGCAGGATAACTCAGCACTTCCACTGGCACAGGAGCTGCTGGGAATATGGGGAGCAGGGAACTCGGTGTAATTATTAGGAGAGATATTTAAATACTCTTCAGGGTAATTCTGGAGAGTGCAGGGGAAGCCAAACACATTGAGAATCTCATTTTCAGCTGTTGACTGGAGGAGCCAGGAGGGGGGAGATGCCCCAGCCAGAGCCTCCCCACACTGGAGAAGATCCGTGGGGTGATGAGGAGAGGAGAGCTGGCAAAAGACAAAGCACCCACAGCCCGAGGGACAGAGTGTCCAGGACCTTTCAAGGCTAAATTCCCCTGTTTCCCTTGCTTTCAGGACTCAAGGGCAGCAGAAACTTGGATTGAAGTTATGTTAGCCACAAGATCAGCTGCAGCTGCCGTCTCCAGGTTTTGGTTTTGTTTGGAATCATGGAATCGCAGTTGGAAGGGACCCACAAGCATCATCCAATTCCAACTCCTGGCCCTGCACAGGGCATCCCCAAGAGTTTAACTTGGTCCTTATCAGCTTGTAAAGCCTGCAAGTAAATCCCACCCTGATTTCTTTTGTGGGGGAGAGAGTTCTGAGCCATCCTGTGCAGCAGCTCAGCCCAGTTCATGGCAAGGAGCCCGAGGAGGATCCAGGAATTCCAACTGCAGATTCCAATGCACACCACTTCCCTGCCTCCCACCACGGGAGAGTGTCTGGGCCCTGTGGTGGACACCAGAATTGCTTTCATTTCTCCCTAATTAGCTATGAAATGATGTTTGCAACCTGCTCAACTGCCCACTTAGGCTGGGGGGGAGCAAACATTGGCCCATCTGCCAAGAGGTTTTTCAGCAGACGTTTATCTAAATAGAGAAATCAGCCTGCTATTCACATCTGATTAACAAACACAGCCTCTAATTAGCCCATGTGATTAAGATTCATTTGAGGAGTCACTTCAGCACATACATTAACCCATCACTCCTTTGCTCAGTGCTGGTGAGAGGAGAGGTCCTGCCTGGCTCCAGCTCTGAAGGAGGAAAAGCAGAAATATTTAAGGTCATGCTCAGAACAAAGGGTCAAACCACTGCTGAGGCAATATTCCACGGGGTTTTTCCCTCAAGGAGATTCTCCTAGAGGAGCTGTAGTCCAGACAGACCATTGGGGTGAGAAAATTTGCTGGTTTTCACCAGCCCACCAGCACTGCCTGTACTGGATCCAAAACCTGGCTCTTCCAGCAAGATGAGAAATCCCCCAGGATTTAGGAAAGACCCTCCCAGCCCAAACTGCCTGAATTTCCCTGTCAGAACCTCCATCCATGGAGCTCTGTGGTTCTCCCAGAGGATTTGACCATGGGAAAGTTATTGCCTGAATGTTGTTAAATAACATTTTGCCTCTTGTTCCCCTGGTTTGCTGCAACAATTGCCACAATCAATGTGGTTTGTAATGTGTCCTGTCCCCTGAATCTCAGTTATTAACCTTAACAATGTCAATGAGCTGCTGCAGGAATCGAGCCCCAGCAAATTAAGGGTTGACGTAATTATTAAGAGCTGCTTAGTACACAGGAATATATAAATATGTTACTGATGCCTGGGGGCTTGCAAGGAGAGGAGAATTCACAGTGACTGCAGCGAGAGGATAAACCAGGGCAGCCCCAAATTCCACCAGGTGTGTTGGAATACTGATTCCAGTTTCCCTGGATTTGCCTTTCATGCTTACACAACCACGTGGTGATGCTGAATTCCCAATTATTGGCCTGTTTTCCTCCCAGATAAGGAGTTTTGCCAGCCAAGGGAAGGGGGAAAGGTCAAATTTCATGGGTTTTTAGCCATTCCAAGATTTTTGTTTGGAATTTCAGTTCAGTCCCAGTCTATTCCAAGGCTGTAAAGAGGTAAAATGGGAAAACACCACATCCAGCATATTTCAGCATAAAGGCACAACCTGATGTGCTTTCCTTAAGTGAGTCACTGGGGCAACGTTGCTGCTATTTTCATGAACGTTATGTGTGCCATTAACATCTTTACTTTAATTAAAACCAATTGAAATCCAAAACAAAAAACTCTGAAGTGGTTAAAAACCCATTAAAAAAACCACCCCAACATTAGAACGGAGAGAAGAGCTGAAACCTCACAAATGATGGGATGTGAATGAGAAATTCCATAATGGCTCCTTAAAAAACTGAAAAAATCCCAATTACCTGGATGGATTTTGGAGCTGCACCTGCACCAACAGGACAATCTGCTCCATCACTTGTACATTAAATAATAAAAGCACCAAAAACCTCCTATCCCTGCTTTAATCTGCAAAGAATCACTTGAGTTGTTTCCAAAGCATTCAAGCTGAGCTGAAGGAAAAGAACAATAAAGAGGAGAAAAAGAATGTTCTGGGGGAAAATGTGGTCTTAAAAGTTTGTTGCTTCTGCTAAATATTTAATCTGGATTTCCTCTTGTATTGCACTGCTCCTGTGGATGACTTACCTGTTCCTCCAGGCCTGCTCTTTTAAAAGCTGTTTTATTTTTTCTGGAGATAATTTCTGTGTCCAGCCCCCCTCCCTGTTTCAGGATGGTGATAGTGGCTGCAGGAAAGCGAGAGGCAATTTCTCACCTGCCCGATGTGATCCCGCTATCTCCACTTAGAGCACAAAATCTCCCATTACCTCGTCCATGCAGAGCATGCAAAAAAACCTCCCCTCGCTTCATTTCCCAGGCAGGGAGATGTGATATCAGCCAGAAGGAAAATATCCATGCAAATATTCCTTCCCTGGGCAGTCTGTGTTTGTAAAGATCGCTTTTCCCCACAAAAACACAACATTTAGGCTGCTGCTGGCCTTCCTGGAGGAGCCTCCCTTTGCTGCTGGTGAGGGTCGTTATTGTCACTTCCAGACACTAAAGATCCTTTTAAATCTGTTTGGTCTGGGATGGGGATTATTCCTTTCCCTTTCCACAGGAATAAGGGAATTGTTCTTTCCTGCAGGGTT